ATTATAAGCAATGTGCAACTTATAATATAAATATATGCGAAGCTCGTCTCGAAGGCGCCACTGTCAGATATAAAACTAATTATATGTATTTCGCGATAAGGATTACGCGACAAACTTCAAGAATCGGAGATTATTAAAGTACGCTCGAATAAATTCTTTAGCCGTAACATGATATGAGTGAAATGTAATGCTTGTAATACATTCTAATACTTTGCATTTAATTAAATGAAAAATACTTAATTTTTAACGATTCAATTACGACAAAATTTATTCAATGAAAATGATAGACACATTTAATGCTCCAAAATGTCAACAGTTATTTGCATTCATATAATATATTTAATATTTATTTTTCTTTCGTAATATTATTTACTTATTTATTTTCTTACTTAATATTTAACTACACTTTTTTCAAGCAATTATTTTTTATTAATAATAGAAAGAAATATGCAACTGGTAGAAAGAAAGTAAAAGAACGATTTAGCAAAAATAGAATATTGTTCTTGGAAACTGTTTCTATATAATTTTAGTTTTCGCAATCTCAGATTTTTAGTTATAATATAGAAATTTATTAATAATGTTGATGCAAGAAAATATATATCGGTTTACTATCAATTCTTTAGTATTTTTATTCGCTCAGAAGAGGTTGGATAACACCGATAAAATGAATGAAATTATAGCTATATAAGCAAGTTATTCATAAAGATATTAATAAAATCAATATTCACAGGCGATGCAAACAATATACTCACGAGATTGCTCAAGTTGCATTCACAGAAACGATAATTAACTTAGTATCAATATACGGCGCCGTATATCTTTCACGTGTTGGGACGTAACATTGCAAATTCGCACTCTCTTGTGACCGAGTAGTGTCATTAGGTGACAGAGCGTGATAGAATGTCATCGCACAATGTTGCATCGATGAAGTACGATGATTTGTGCGCGTCAATAAAAATGCCTTGCTTTTTCACCGCGTCGTGTGATTCACGTTATCATAAAACTGGGTGTGCCGTCGTAAAAACTTACGAGCTACATATTCTTTCGATACTTCGATCGCTGACATAATCAAACTTCGAATGCAAAATTTTGATCAAAAAATTTCAAAAAAATTATACGGCTAATCTCTTGATTTGCGCTCTCACAAATTTCTTTTTCTATACTTTTTCCAGAAAGCTTTGTTTCTTCCTGAAATTTTATTTTTATTTTGCCTGATTTTTTTTCGTTAACAAAATTCTCCGACAAAATTCTTTTATAATATTTATCGAGAGAGGAACTTTGTGTTCTGCATATATGCACGCGCCCGCATCCGTGCGTGCATGTATGCAAATGCAATGTGCATTTACTGAGCTGTAACGAGACGCCGATAAACAAGCGGACGAATTAGGTGGTCAAAGACTTGATTCCAATGAGAGATCGTAGCAGTGTAACGAAAATTGCGCGTTAAAACCCAAGTTAAGCGACAACATTCTAAATTGCCTTGAAAATTGAAACGAATTGTTCGCTAATGCGAGCTGTTAATTAGATTTCTGCGATTTGATTGTTCGCAATTAAGCTTCCTCTCGCGCGCTACTTTTTCTCACGTCTATCTCTGCAGACAAATGATTTCGGGCGAAAGTTCGCCTCGTCACTCGATCGTTATATCCATTCGGTTTCGTACGCGTTGTATAGGCTCACGCAGGCAGAACGTAGAGACTTCCCTCGTTTAAAGGAAGGAGATGGCGAAGTAGCGGGAGAAGAAAAGGAGGCCGGGCTCGTCAGGCCGTATCGTAAAAGGTGGGTAAGCACCGGCCGGAACATATTCATGCTCTAGTGAAATTAAATACTAGCGAGAAAGTACGATGCCTCGCGGCTATTTAAACCGTTCGGAGGCGACTCTGTTCGTCTCTCGACAGCATAAATCTCGCGACCGCGTGCGTATGTACACCTCGTACGATGTCGATATCCTATCGCGAAATCGCGTTCCGAACAGATAGGCAACGAGACGAAAAAATACAGTCTACTAGAGCCACGCGAAACGTTCGCGGAATCTAGAGGCACTTTACACAGATTTTTATGTCTGGACCTTGAATAAAAAATTATCTCCAAAAATAATTAGGAATTTCGATATTTTCTTTTGCAATGCTTCATTTCTCGAAAAATATTTACGATGTAAAAGTAACTTTAGAAAATAAAAAGGAACATTATCGCGTATCCGCGTTTATCTCTTAATTGCCTGAGTAATTTAAATGTGTTAAAAACATCTGTTGATATTTTATTGATAAATGAAACGTTGAAATTAAAACTCGAACATGGCTTAGGAAGTTAAAACTTGACGTGTATCGTAAATTCTCACTCTGACTCGATACGAGGAATTGTTTACAATGAATGAAGGCGGCTGATGATAGCGAGATACGATGGCGAAAAATCGAACGATTACGTAATTGAAGGTTTGGCCGCGCCAGTCAGACGATTCCCCTTTTTTCGACAAAGCGAGTTATTTACTGCTATATGTTGGGTGAATAGTGGTTTAACGATTGAACCATAGTTTCACGTAGATAATCGTGCAGTGCGAAAAAAGTTTGATAGTTGCGAAGATTGCAGTTTTAATCGCGAATCAATTATCTCTCGATATGTCTCGTCTTTACATTTAAAATTAAATGTACTTGGAAATATCTACAAACACGCAGCATTTTTATTTTATTATTAATTATTTATTTTTATTATTTTACTTCTTCGTTAAAATAAAAGCTAAAACTAGTAAAAGTTGAAAAACAATTAATCTTTTACAGTTCAAAGTTGCTCTAATGATATGTCGAAATATATCGAGAATGTGGAATTTCTAACATTAGCAAAATTTACTATTTTATTTTAACATAAGCTATCTTCGAAAACAATATCTACGACCAAAGAAATCTACTCTCACTCGAAACTTGCTACGCCAATGACGCTGCTTTTATATAATATAACCAGTTCGATTCTCCAAATTTTTCTACAAACGGATACGAACGCCATAGGGAATCCCATTGAACACGAAAGAAATATGTTTCCAATAAAGATCCAGTTCCCATATTTCAGTAAAAAGTTCTACGATTTGCTCGGAGTTTTTTTTTTTTTAGAATAGTTTCTAAGATATCGATTTATGTTGATGTCAACTATATAATTAAGCGCAAACAATATTTTACTTATACATTTATTTAACATTAAGCGTAATTTGTTTTTAAATTTTAACCAATCTACTGTTATGACACTCTCAGTATTAGCACAAGTGTAATTTCATCAGATTTAATTAATTTCTATACTATATGCTTTTCATTTTATAACATTTTCTATATTACACTAATTACAATACGAGAAGATATTATAAATGTCAAATAGTAGCAGAACTCGCATAGCAATACAAAAATTAAATGCACAATTTTTTCACTAATATACGTGCACAATTAGAAAAATGTTAAACTAATACATATATATTAAACAAAATCAAATTGATCACATATTGAATTATATAATGTTATATTATTACGTGAAGTTTTCTCTTGAAATAAGTTCATTGAAAGAGACATGTCTGACGATGATTACAGCGTTAAAGCGTCGTTACATGTGCTAGGGAGTCTTATTTCAGAGAACCTCATGCATTTCGCGGCGATTACTGATAGTCGTGACGGTGATACGATCGTCTCGTGCATACGATGCACTCGCACCGTGTCGTTTGTCATACCCTAAGTTATACGCACGGCACATCCGGTCGCGGAGTCGCAACCGACCGTGGTCCCGTAACAAACGCGCGTATCGTTACGTACGCATTGTGTAGTAAAAACGTAGTACGCGTAAACGAGGCGAAACTCCACGCATCAAGGGCATTCTAGCTCTTACGTGGCTCCACTCCCACTCTCTTTTGCTTTCTGCTCTCCTATTTCTGCTCGTCTTACAACCGACCCAAATTATTCATCGAAAGCGAATATCCATCTTTGCTCTTTTATATGCATATACGAAGAATTTTGAAAATTGAAGAATAATGTAAAAATATAGGAATTTTTTTGAAAATTTTAATAAAAAGTTGACACATCATAAAGATGACTCAAACATTGCCTCTCTTCTCGCCAGATTTATTGAATATTTTCTCAATGAGAATATAAAAGTACTAATAATTTTTTAATTATAATTAATTGAAAACAACAGATAATGTAATGTCTTGGATTTTATTTTCTAATTATCAAAATATTTTATATTGAGCAATAATATTGCGAGAGAGAGAGACAGTGTTAGAATTTAAAATTAATACATAGATTTTATTAAAAAAAAGAATGAACTTTAAACTTGCTTAAAATGAGTATTGACAAAAATTATATTTTTAAGATATATATATAAATACTGTCTCTTTATGCTTTTATTTTTATTTATGAAAAACTGCAAATGTATCCAAATAGATTACTTGGAAGTTTCAGTATGCCGATTCTGTATGGTAACTTGAGAAGAAGGAATTTTGCTTATCAAGCAAATTTCTTTTGAAGGAGGATAATAAAGGTCAAAATACAATTCTGTTTTTGTCTACGACGATATTTAATTAGTCTCTTTTTATATTGGGAAACATTTTAGCCGTTTAGGAATCTGCATCTATCCTTAGAAGTCTCCGTCCTTGATTATTCTGGTTCTCACGATAAAGCTATGAGAAACGAACTCGCAAAGAGCTGGGCCTGGAGAGAGGCACGTTGACGAAGAGCAACGTGGAGGAGCTCCGATGTCTCGGATGAACGAACGAAAGCGAATAGGACCGAAGTTGACCGAGCTACTTCGTTCTTTCAGTGTCGGACAGTATTCAAACGGAGCTCCAAGGCCAGTAGAATCGAGCAAGAGAGTACTTAAAAATCCGATATTTAACTTTCTCACAAAGAAAACATGCAACTTTGCGAATATTTCTGTTATACGCTCAGGAACATTATGTATGAAGTGCAAAAGCTGATCATAAGTCGATTATTGAGAAAGAAAACGAACTTTTCAAAATTATCGAGACAGATAAATGACAATTAAACAAATTTTAATATGTATAGAGTTGTGATTTGATATTTGAAAGCACATTTATAATATTTAAAAATTATTTTGTTACAACATGATATCTTTTCTTTCTTCAATATTTGGTGCAAGTATACAAAAAAATGCGTAAACTATAATTAAAAATTAATATAAAATCTATGGTTTCTTTTATGAGAGCCTGCTTAAACTGTTGAACCTGTTGCTCACTATTGCTAGCATCAGCAACAGGTTGCCACATACGAACGGCACATACCACACCACGTAGAACTTTCCCTTTTTGTCGATCTGAATTTAAGACAAATAGAAAGAGTTTAAAGATCTAAAAACTAAAATTAAAAATTGTTTTAGATTTATAACTTTTTCTAATTATAAACTGCTTCTATATATTGCACTTTAAAATCGATCATCATGTCTTTATTTCTTTTTCGTATTATTTTTTTCTATTTCGTCTCATTTATTCTTTCTATATGTATATTTCTATTTTTTATTACGGTTTTGTTATCTTACTTTAATATTATACACGAAGAGCGTTTTTCCTTAGAATTTATCCTGAAAATCGTAATAATCGTGGAACAATATGGTATTGGAAAAATTTTATAAGACCTTCTCTGGTTAATATTTAGCACAACGAAGAATATTAATATGTACATAGTAAAATTAATTGAACATATTTTATATCTTATTGTGATAGATATTAATATTTTTATTACGATAAATATTAACCAGAGAAACTTTCATAAAATTCTTCCAATACCGTGACTTTCAGGGTAAATTCTAAGAGAAAATACTCTCTGTATTATTTATAAAGTAAAAGTATAAGAATACTCTTTTTACATACCATTACTTAGAGACATACTCGAACAAAAACTAATTACAATCACTTCAATAGAGAAAAGTTAAATCGTTTTTTTTCTACGTCGCCCATGATTTAAATTAGATCGTATCGCATATTTGTGTAGAAACAAACATTTTCGGCATGTATAAGCTCGGTCCTTAATTTTACGCGAGGCGAGCAGCCCCCATCCACCCCGCTGCACTGTCGCTCGCCGACTAAACCGGCGCCACGACCGCTTTCGTCTTCGCCGCGCGATAGACGGCGGAGGAGTGGGGGAACATTTACGTTTCACGTTGACACGCTGGCGCCGTACTGGTGGGGGGAACCGGCAGCGGTCACGTGATCAGCTGGCGCCGCGCTGGTGGGAGGAGGACCGGCCGCGAGACGTTCGTACGACCAGACTCGCCGGCATTCTGAGCTGATAAGTCGCCAGTGTCGGATCGTGAGAAAGTGGAGAGGGATTCTCGCGCTCCTTCGCACCTCGCAGGACATTTAAATCGACCGCAGGTAGACGGACCGACGATCTGAGAGGCCGACTCCGGAAAAAAAAGAAGGAAATCGCCTCTCTCTCTCTTTCTCTCTCCTCTCCTCATGATTCTCTCGAGAAAATAAACGAACTAGTCGCTCGTGGACTTTCAACAATCACGAATCGCGCGACGATTTAACAGTGGCACCGGCCGAAAAACCTTCCGCACACACACACAACACTACGCTTATTTATTAGGATCCTCAAAGCGTCCCGCGACGCATTATATATTTATTATCTCTTTTTGTGCTTCGATTCGCGGAATATAATACGTGTGAGAAGAGGAACAAGTAGCGAAGAAAACGAAGAGTACATCAATCGCACGATTCTCATCGCCCGACCGAAGAGACAGGGAAAGAAGAATAAAACCTCTCTTCTCGGAAAGGCCAAGAAAAATGTGTAAGTACGCGAGAAACTGATCGAACGAACGGAATTTATACGAGCCTGTCGCAGTCGCCCGTTGGTCGTGCACGCATATACACATATATACACGCGTGTATAATTCCGTGGTACACGCACGTATATACTCGTTCGTCATCGTCATCGTCGTCGTCGTCGTTTCGCGATTCGTCGCGAGTGATCAGTCGTCTCTCTGCCTCGTCCGCAGTGAAAAAGTGAGTTGAGTGTCTTTTCGTGCCCCTCTCTCTCTTTTGTTCTTTCTCTCTCTTTTTGGTCTCGGAATCTTCGTCGAGGACAGAAAACACGGTTCCGAGGAACGCGAGAGAGAGAGAGAGAGGGAGAATCGATCGATCGGTTCGATTTCCGGTGAAAATCCATCGCGATGGATCTCCTGTGCTGCGAAACCACGGAGAACGAATGCCGGGCTTACGCGGATCCGGCCCTCCTCGGCGACGACCGGGTTCTGCAAAACCTCCTGCAGACCGAAGAGCGCTATGCGCCAAGCAGTTCCTACTTCGAGTGCGTTCAGAGGGACATTTCGCCGCTCATGCGCCAGATCGTCGCCGAATGGATGTTCGAGGTAAGCGATCGTTTCTCGCTCCACGTGGAAATTCTTTGCTTAGCATACATATGGATGTCGCGATCGCGACCGCTCGAATTTAATTTATTCCGCGAAATATAACCGGCGAGGGAACTTTGCTTGTCGAGTCGACGGGTTATAAAGATTAATCAGTTTCTTTAATTTATATATATATATATTTTTTTTTTTTAAATCGTAGTATTTACACAGAATTTTCTCCTAGAATTTACTCGGGATATCATCATATGCGATACTAACATCTAATTTCAGTCATGGGTGCCCTTGGAAAAAAAAGATTAAATATTGTATTTAACTTTTTTGTATTGAAGTGATTGTCATTGTTTTTTTGTTCTTCGAGTACGTATTTTTGTCTCTAAGAACATAAGTAATGATATGTAAAATGCGAGCACTCTACTCTTACTTTATAAAATAACACGAAGAGAACTTTCTCTTAGAATTTATCATGAAAATCATGGTAAGAGAAATAATGTAGTATTGGAAGAATGTCATAAGTTTCTCTGATTAATATTTAGCATAATAAAAAATTAATAGTCCTACAATAAGATATATTCGATAATTTTATTATGGACACATTAATATATTTTTTATTTTAGTGTAAATATTAATTAAAGAAATTCTTCTAAAATCCTCCCGATATCATATCGTCTTATGATTACCATAATTTTTATGATAAATTCTAAGAAAAAATACTTCCTGCAGGATAATAAATACTAAGATAATTCTTAATTATCATATAATTGAGTATTATTAATTATACGTAATTAGTGTTATCTGAAGAAGTTAGTAGAATGAAATTGAATATTTCGACCAACTATACTCTTCAACTGTCTTTTTCTGTCTCTTTAAAAATAAAATCTGTGACAGAGTAAGACAATTGAATCGTGATTAAAATTAATTCAAAATTATATTTTGACAAATGTCAATTACAATTTTAGTGACTCTTTTTTCCCTGTAAAGGTAGTCTAAAAATAAAGTTTATACCGATGACCTATGATCTGATAGACTGACGTCAGTCTTTTTTGTATATAGACAAGTGAGTAATTATTTTTTCTTTTTTATTACGCAGAAAAATTTTTGTTTAAAAGGGAGAAAAGAATTATCTAATAATACATACATAAACATACATGTCTGTTTACTTATGTCGCGGTATTTTAAATTATGTTTCCATTGTACAAAGTTAAAGGTCTCGAATGTTGTGGTTGTCATGTCGGAATCTTATTCTTAGACAACACGTGCAAACAGTTTTAATTTATTATTCGTCGATTTAAAAACGCAACAAAAAATAACACGGCTGATCGGTGCTTTTAAAGAATAAATTGAACTGATTTAGATCCAAATATACATATCCCGGGGATGGATGAAGGTCAGATTTGCGAGACGTGAATTTCGGTTCTTTCGGATCGCGACTCGATGTTTGTCTTTTTTTGTAATCCATAAATTAAACATTGGTCTCTTTTATATTACACGCGATCGTAAATTAATAAGTAAGTCGAATTTTCTAAATTAATAATTACAGAGCCTGTTAGTCGCTGGATTTGGCAGGTCTTTGCTGATGATTATATTAAAAATTAATGTACATAGATGTGCACACAGATGTTTGTGGCATAAACCTCGTAGATATTTGCATATTTAAATATCTCTTATTTGTCGGCCTCTTCTCGCAGACGCGATGGTTTCTTTTTCAATTCCCAAATTAATATCTTGAAAATTTTTATCTCAAATGACATTGTTATCTTGATTTTAATTAAAAAGAAAAGCGTTAAACGAGTTGACGCGCGAAGAGGAACAGAAATTATTTAAGATTAAACATCTCAGACGGCTGTCGAATGTTTCGGCAGCGTTTTAAGAACCTGTCGCCGACCGCGGCTTCTTTTGTCACGAGAGAGCCTTCTGATCCCAAGTTCATATATTTTTATAAAACTATCGGTGCATAAAAGGAAGTAAAGTAAATATTCTTTGTGTTGTTATGCAACATCACTTTCATTCTGTTAAATGTGAAATATTTTTGAAAACATAACAGATTGAAAAATGCATTTATTTATTTTTTTTTAATATTCGATATCGATGTGCAACGAATGACAAATTTTTAACTGTCAAATATTTAGATGTCATGCAAAAATTGAAAATAGAAATGATTGATTTTAATACATGTAATATTACGATTCGCGTGAATAACATTAACAATTTTTTATAAGTTTTTCATACATTACATATATATTTTAAATTAAAATAATAAATCGAAAAGGTTCTAATATATAAATACAAATTGAAGGGCTAGATACAAAACATCAAATGGAACAAAATTATTATTGAATTCCTCATCTATATTTTGACTGATCAAAATAGATTATATACATATTAAATTCTTCGTAATTTTGAGAAAATAAATTTCTTCGCGATTTCTGCGATGCAAACACAACGTTTTTGATATTTGCTGTCATTGAGTAGGAAATTCGGGCGAAAGTCGACGATAAATCCTTCCTCTCTCCCGTCCCATCCTCTAACTTACGTCATCGTTTCCGAAGCTGCCGATAACGGAATTGTATTCGTCGCGATTGACATCATCCAACAATATATTTTCGCTGATTAAAGAGCAGAATCGGCAGCTGATCGACCAAGTATCGTTACGTGTTATCGCGCGATTATCGAATTCCTCATCTAATGACGACGATTTAAAGACAGGCATACATAATACAACTATTAAGCAGAGGTATTTAGTACTCACAACAGCAAGATTATATTCTCGTTTGTTTTATTCTCAATTTATCCTTTACGATAACGATATTGCACAGTCCGCGAGTTATCGCGGGTCATTTGTGTCTAGTTTAATTACATTCGGCAGAGAGAATTGACCATATATGTATACTTAGAAACGGTTCAGATTAGACAGACCCACAGGCGTGATAATAATTTCACAATTTATGCCTTGCACCAATTAACAGCGGATTAAATGCCCGAAATTCACGAAATAATTAAACTCGTAGAACTTATCAGCATAATAAATAAAAATATAATATTTTAAATCGGCCAATAGAGCCCAAGCGCGAAAAATTAATTTTTCGGCTCTATTGGCCGATTTAAAATATTATATTTATATTTATTATTAATACTGAGAGCCGATAAAGATATTTCTTATCTGATAATAAATAAAATTCTCGGTGACAGCTAAATTTCATCGAACGGAAAGAGAGAGAGAGAGACGATTAGTCGCGTCGACGAATTAATTCCCCGCCTAGACTTCCTCCTTCATCGGATATGGTAATGAATTTCTCCGTTTCCGGACCGGATTCTCGTGTCGTTGTGCTCCTTCGGGCGTCGTTTTACCTCGGTCTTGTTTAAATTAGAGCCGAAACGATACGGGCGTATATCGTTTCGACTCACGCTCCGATAGCGTGCGCCTCGCTCTTTTTGCCCTGACACGGAGAGGCTCAAATTATTTTTCTTTGCGAGTGTCAAAAAACTCCGATGTGATGAGAACGATGACGATGACGAGCATTCGATAAGCCGGTTGTTTCGGCGCCGTCAAAGTCGCATACCTTTATCATTGAAGCTCACAAAAAGCTCCGTCCATTGTTTTCGACTGGACATACGATACCTATCGACCAATTATTCGCTATTATTCATAATAATTTATAACTAAAATTATCATTTTCATTTATCGATACACAGAGAATTTTCTCGTAGAATTTAGCTTGAAAATTCTGGTAAACGTGAGACAATATGGTATTGCAAAAATTTTACAAGAGTTTCTCTGATTAATATTTACCACAATAAAACAATTAATTTCTACAATAAGATAAAATATGTCCGATTAATTTACCATGATTTTTAGAGTAATTTCAAAGAGAAAATTTTCTCTGCGTAGTAGTAATTAAATATAATCAAATTTTGATCGAAAAGTTATCAATCATTAATGTTGCAAAGAAAATATTTATCGATGTCTTGCTCTTATTACTCGTTTTGCAGAAATAATATGTATCGTAATATAATAATTTCTTTGATTGAACGGAATTGCAATGTGAATCGGACCTTAAATCGCATAAAGCGATAGAATTCGGTATGTAACCTCGTTACATCACAGCTGGCAGACTTCTCTGCACTTTTGTTGTATCGATATCGCTCTTTTTCTCGAGCATTTAATTGCTCTCGCGTCCCAGACATTTAATCGCAACAACCGAATTCACGCGATGACCTCGACGGCGTGTTCCGTACGACGAAAGCGAGTTGCCTGGGTCTCTTACAAGTGCGTGCGCGTGTGCGTGCGTGCGTGTCACATGCATCGCGCTTCGAATTCTTCGACATTACGCCGGCTCCTCGTCGATCCAGCCGGCGCGAATGACAGGTCGTTGTATGCGTACGTCGATGGAATGTACTCGGCTTTTAAATGCTGCAAAAGTAGCATTAATCGTAATTATATCGGGTGTTTACTGAGCAAATTGTTTCAAATTCGAAACAATCATTTTTCGATGATTTATGCATTTCAACATTGGACAGTGATTAAAATTAAAATCAAATTTCTGTTAAAGCAGAATATACTAGAAATTAAAGAATTTATTAGACATTCCTATCAAACATTCTCATCAAGAAAGAGATATAATTTAATAGCTTGGTTCCGTATATTTATGTGATAAAATTATATAAAGTAATTTACAAAATAAATCATGTAATTTTCTAAAAAAGCGTGTATCGTTAGGCTTTTTGAACTTTTTAAATTGATTTTAAATACGAGAATTTAATTTCGTACATTTATACGCAATCAGCTATTCAATACGCTAAATGCGTTACGATCTTTTACGAAAGGAAGAGATCAAAGCCATTTTGCACTTCTCGCTTGTCTCACTCTGTATATAATTCGCGTAAGTGCTGCTGATAGCGAAAGCGTTGAATTTCCGGATCGCGAAACCGACAATTGGGGGTCGAATTTATACCGGTTTCGCAAACTTCCTTCTTCGTTGAGTATCGTGAATTTCTTAAGACGACATTTTTTTTCGAACGAGTCTCGTTCGATTATTATCGATGCATAACACATACGAAGTCGCTATCGGCTTTTATCGGCGGCAGGTTTGCTTAATTGGCGCCGAACTTATAAGAAAGATCAGCGAGCTCGATAAAGTCATGCAGATAAGAGTAACAAAGTTCCGAGGCAAATCACATTTCGAAAAAAAGAGATTCGAGACATTCGTTATCGGTTGCCAATTAAAGGCGGATTGCGAATATAAATATAATGCCACGTTTCGGTGCAGCAACTTTGGTAGCTGGATTTCAAATATATCGTTCGTATAACGAAAATCGTATCTTTCTGCGAATCTCTGCTTCTTTGATGCAAATACGACTTGATTTTTTATAGTGTTTCAAATAAGTTTATATAATATATATTACGTGAAAAGAAATATGATCGTATATAACGATTCTTTATTATTAAAGAATATTGTGTGCATAATAATTTAGCGAAAAGTTACCAGAATTTTTTATTTTTTTTTTTTAATGTTTTGCGGCTCCATTCCGCTTCTGCATTTTAAGGATCCTTCTCCGGTTCAAACTTCGCCTCACTCAACTTTCATGGCAATGTTTGAACAGATGCACGATAATCTTTCGAAGCGATTTCGTGAAAAAGTACGTTTTCTCTTTGTTTCTGCCTCTCTCGATGGATCATTAATATTGACCATTTGCCGAAGGATTGAATAAAAAAGCTTTTGAGCGTTGCTCTTTTACCTGCATAATCTCATAAGCTGCATGGAGAAAGAAAAAACCCACATATTTTCTTTGTTCTCTCTACGGACAGAACTAATCTCGCGTACGATTTTCGATGATTAGGTTAGCGCGATTATTTCGTTAGGCCGGTGCTGTTGCTAATTGGTGGTGGCGGCGACGGCGGAGTAATTACGAGAGGGTGCACACGCATATGTGCATATGCGAGGCCGCCGAGGGCTGGCCGGCAATCATTGGTCACGCTCAATAAATTCCTCTCTCGCGCCTCGACGACGCGCACGATCACACGTAGCCGCTCTCGGCCTTGCACCCCGAGACGTCCGAAGCGAAGTTAATTCGCGATTCTACCGCAATTCAATGCTCCCCGAAACTTCAAAGAGTCGCTCCGACCATTGCGCGTTTTATGTAAACACGCAACAATAAACGTGCGGTAATAAATGCGATAACGAAAAAGAAAACGCTACGCGTTTCTACTGTTTCTCGATCTTCAAAAATATCCGCGATTTTTATTTATTACTTTTCTTTCATAATCGCTTATAGGGATATTTTAATTTAACAGCTGGTTTTTTTAATTTATAGAAAAAATCTGAAGTTTTAAATTAATTACAATTTTTATAAATAATTCAGAGATTGCACGGAGAGAATTTACCCTGAAAATTATTGTAATTGTAGGACAATAATGGTACTAGAAGAAGTTTAAAAGTTCTCTCTGTATATTCAATGTATCATTGCTGTTGCATGCAATAAATTATTTGCGATAAAATATATTATAGAAAATGTTTTTATTCTTATATAGATTCGATATATATATATAGAGGAAGACTATGAATAAGTCGCAAAAAATGTATAACCATGAAAGTTTGGTTTTAGAAACATACAAATGATTATCTCTCTCAGAGGTGGTCGATTTTTCTTTTTCATAATAAAAGATATTCCAACTCTAAGTCCTTTTTGTAAGTCCTTTTTTCATCAGTTCTTTCTTAGCGTGGTTTTTAAATTTTACGGCAAGTTTATACGACAAAAGAATTTCAAAGAATTTCGAATAATCTTTCGACCTACACGACGATCGATATGCAGTCATGTTGCGACCACGCTTGTTAAAATACGATCAAAGGAAGGAAATCCGGTGAGATATCTGTATCCTACGTCTAATATTAGTGCGAGCGATTATTGCGTGAAAATTGGTTTTTTCTTACTGCGACATGCAAACACAATACGTCTGTCTCGTAAATTCTTTAAATGCTAACAAATGAAAGAGAAGGAAGAATAAATAAGGACAGACACGAGACATACAAATTACTTCAGCTGAGTCACTTCCACAAAAATACAAAGACAGATACTTCGGTCGTTATTGATCCCATCCACTTGTAATCTTTTGCGTTTCACGCACATACCTTCTTTTTTTACATTTGACATTTTTTACGAGATACGTATTACGTCTTGCAGCGTAACTTTTTAGAACGATTCGTCGAGCTAAATTTGCATCGCGCATATTCAGAGACGTTATCGCAACGACGACGACTCTCCGATCGTATTCGAAACCTTGAAACGATTTCATCATTGCCTTATCACGAAAATATATACGTCACACCGGCTCTTCATTATTTTTGTGGATCTTTAATGTTGCAGGTATGCGATGAACAGAAGTGCCAGGACGAGGTCTTCCCGCTGTCGATGAACTACGTTGACAGGTTCCTGTCGATCTGTCCGATCAAAAAGTCGCAGTTGCAACTACTCGGCACCGCCTGTCTTCTCCTGGCATCGAAGCTACGTGAAACGTCACCGCTCACGGCCGACGTTCTGGTTTTCTACACCGATAACTCCATCACTCTCGACGATCTATGGGTAAGTGGGCATGCACCAAACAGATTTTAATGCCGGTTGAATCGGCTAGATACGTTTGATATATTTGGCGATCGATATTTTATGCGACGACTTAGCGGTTACAAAATTGCATATCAACTTTTTGACCCATATAGACACAAATCGCGACTTTATCTTATCTCGCGAAACCGTCAAAAGGTCTCTTTGCAACAAGCGAATTATCTATACGTGCGAGAGAGGACCGCCGCGCAAAATAACAAATGTACAATTTTTCAATATCCATTTAATAACAATTTTTTTCTAAATAGTATTTATGCATATACATACGAGAGAAAGATCAATTTCGCGACAGAATGAACACGAAATGTTTTCTTTTTATACGTTTTGTCACTGTCGCGAAAATTTTTCCATCATATACGTTCTCGTCTGCCGTTTCGAATTCTAGTTTCTCGTTCTACTTAACACGGTGATGTGTGTACCTGGTTACAGGCAAAATCGGACGACTTTTTGACACGTGTAAACAAATAAAGTACACGCGCGATACCGCTATAGTCGTGCGTACTCGTTGCCAGCTCGTTGTATAATTCTTTTAAGTAGGCGTCTCGCGAAGGCCAGGGATCGAGGAAGCGATTCTGGCGATCCAGTTTCCATTACCGTCATTTCTACGAAAACGATCGATATCGATTTTATTGTTCTCCCGTGCGTGTAGATCCTTCCAAAGTTGACAATCGGCGCAAATAGAAAATCGCGCTTGTGCGATCGCTTATCGCCAGATCCATATATGTATCTGGGCTAACACTGGATTGCAAATATACGACGAATTTTTTTCGTAGATTTAAAAAGCTATTAGATGTAGATACAAATGCTAAAGTATTTCTGCCGCGTAGAGATCGATGAGATAGAAAAATATTTCGAGCGCCAGCTTTCTACAAATTAGTTGTCAGAAGTATAAGTTGGAATTAAGATATACCTGATTCTGTGTTTTCAGTATTGCTTTTTATATTTCAAATAGATTTGCTTACATCATTTTAATTAAAAGAAATTGAATTTTTCTTGTAATTTATATATAAAAATTTTTTAATTCTTAGAAATTAATTATCGCTAGACCATCAGGATTTTAAGTGATAAATGTTTTGTAAAAGAAACTTATTTAATTTTACGGTTCGTCTAAACGATATCAGCTTTCTCTCTATCATCTGGCTCGATCAATCGCTTTATATCTCCTTTATATTTACTATGAAACTTTTATGGGAGAAATTTAAGGCACATATAATTGACTTTGTTGTTCAAATTTAAACGTGGAATTCGCTCAATTTCTATTTTTTATGCGGGCTGTCCTGAAATAGCAAAATCACAATATTTGGATTTCTTTAATTTCATTTTGCGGATTTAAGAAGAGAAAGAGAGAGAGAGCTATTGTTTGTTTTCATGATCATTGATCCATTGTATATGTATATTTAGTGTGTACATATAAACATACTTAAACTAACATTTCTCCTCGAAAAGGGCAATTGGTTGCTTGATATATATAACCTGGCACGTGTTTGAATTTTTCACGAATTTATCTCATATAAGATTTTCAAACGAAATATAAATCGATGTTCACAAATTCGATAAATTTTTAAATCCAACAAAATATATGAATTAGATTAAACTAAACGCATAATTATTCAATTATTTTCAAAAACTGAAAAAGTTAATCTAAAGATTTAATTTCTATAAGAATAATATTTAATTTTTTTAGATATCTTTGTCAAAAAAATATCGAAATAGTAGTGAAAAAGATTATCGTTTCTTTTATAGCTTAGGAGATGAAACAAAGAGGCAATTCTTTCGTAGGCCATAAAAAAATAATCCTTTATAATTTTTTCGAATATAATATCTCTAACGAAGATCTCGAAGAAAATTCGAGAGGTTCTTTTATCCTTCAAAAAAACTGGACGTGGTCTCGTAAACCGGTCTTGGAACACAGGAAAGAAGAAGACGCGAATTTTATTAAATATGCGCATCTCTCTCTCGCAATAATGTCTTGCTCCCACAATAATCTCAAGTAGGCTACATCACCGTAGCGAAAGAATTAATTGCGTATCAATTGTTCCGAGATTGTTCACGAGACGAAATTTATGCAATCGACTCGAATTTCGTCGGATCACGTTCGTTAGACGAAGCTTGTCCAAGAGTACAATTTTCGATTCGAGATAGTGACGTGGCTTCATGTGGACTATTTCGGGCTATGCCAGGCGGTCTTCGGCTATAATGGGATAGCGATCATCTCTCTCTTTCTCTCTCTCTTTTTTTCTTTTTTTTTCTCTGACGTCGTGCGACTTTTTTTACGGCCTCGAAAGTTAAATACCTTCCGTCTCGTACATTTTCGCGAAGATATTCGCGCCGTGATCAGGCACTGCCGGTTGAATCCTTATCGCCATCCGCCAGACAGACGGAGCAATTAATCGTGCATTGATACTCCCTCATTGGAATAACCGTTTAAATACAATCTATGGTTTCTTTAGCGATCGTTAATTGTATTGACGATGACAAAGTCGTTCGCGACATTTCCATGCGCCATTGCATATATAGCTTCAAAAGGATTAAAAAACAGTCTTGTGGAAACTTGTGTGTGAATGGGTTTTATCCGTTTGGGTCAGAATGAAAGAGGCGTTGATTCAAGTTTTAGAAATATGCGCAGAATTTATATAGGTATGTTTAGCTAGACAAGACACAGAAGAACGAGTATTGAAGTTAATAAATTTAATTGAATTAATAATTATATATAATATAAATATATAATGTTAATAATTTTTACAAAATTCGCGATTTAATTATTTAAAGTCGATCTTTAATACCACGATATTATTAGAGGAATTAAATCTATAATTAAGTTTTACTTTTTTATTTTTTACATTTTGCAAATTACACTTTCTTGTTTTAAATAACTCACTCTTGCTCTATTGTCCCTTTAAACGTCAAAGCTGCTCGCGATTTTCCCACAACTTTCGAAAATTGTCATTTAAAAAGGCTTTTGAATGATTTATCATGTCACACAACACAGAATTATTCTACTGATCGTTCCTCGGATTCACTCTGATCGAGCAATTCTCAACAAAACGTGAGAATTACATCAGCGTTTGCTCCTCCGTTTTACAAGAGGACAAGGATATCTTGTTTAAACGTTCCTATTGGTCGGGTGCCAGATAACTCGTCATCATACCTAGCGTCAGTAGCGTATCTACCGACACGATCCCGATCGTTATTTCTATGAATCATCGACGTCATTTTTTTGTTAGCTGTCATGGCTTCTATAGTCACAAAAAATTCGGCGCAATATTGACGTATCATGCAACATTTTGCTTCTAAACACTCCTTGAAAAAGCAATGTTGTAGTATTATTGACCTTGTAACACACAATGCTTCTCAAAAGGGGGACAAAAAATTATTTACTATAATGAAAGATGTTACTCATGTTTTTTTTTTTCACTAGTAAACAGTTTTAGATATTATAATATTGAGACAAGTTCTCAAAATTACCAGTCGTTTAACTAAAAAGTTTTCGCAATTTTTAGCAATGATTTTGATTACGTTTTGCTTCCTATTGATATATATGCAACTTGTGCAGTTGCATTCTCGTTGCGAACGCAACGGACCGATTTCTTTTGCAGAAATTATAATATATCGCGACTTCTGCGGGTTACCGCGCGACGTGAAATCCAAGATGATAATCACGCCGTGTATCGGATATCAAACTACGTAGAATCTAGCCGTCGTTGTGCAAACGTCGCTCTACGATCGCGCACAACCTCGGTAAAATTTCATTAAATTTTTTGAATAAAAAATTTACTCCATTTCTTCTCTGAAAGTCAAACAGGGTGTCTACCGATCAGAAAAATCTGGAAAACCGGGTATTGTCAGGGAATTTTATAAATCTGAAATTGTTAGGAAATTTTACTATTTATCTCAATTTTTTTACATTATTCTACATTTTCTGTATTGTTAAAAATCGATTTATCTACAGCGTGTGCGTTAATTTATATTTTTATCGTATTTGGAAAAATAATACTAAAAAGTCAGGAAAAATTAATTTCTGCTCTTGGAAAATTTGAAAAGGTCAGGGGAATTTTTTTCATCGAGTCTGCTGGACATTCTGTTGAAATGAATTTTCCCAAATTCTTAAAAAGGTGCGGCTTCTATGTCACCATCGTACTGAGGAATCCTCCTATTTTTTGTAGAAGAATCCTTGAATGGTAGACACTTCTGAGTCATTCAGTACAACTTGCGGACCGTCATAGGGAAACAATGAATTTTCTTGCCTGCTGCCTCGAAAAAATTCCATTCATTAGTTTGCGCCCTTGTCGAAAAGGGCCGATACATCGTCTCATTTGTAACGTCGGCGACGGTTTTTTCTTCGTAAATTAGATAGTTCCTACAAGTTATACAAACAGACCTGGTCGACCGACACGCTGTTGTCCACGTGAAGAGAATAGACTTCGTGAATTTAAATGCTCGTCGTTCGACCGACACATGACGATGGTCTGTGAGGTATCTGCTATCTTTGTGTGAGTGTGTGTGTATGTATGTATATGCACGGCGACGAATTTCGTCTCTCTCGAGGAATATGAGAGAGAGAGGCAACGACTCTTCGTGCTCCCGGGCAAACATGCGATAGCCTGAGCAAGCCTAAATAGATAACAGCTGATATGGGAAACGGTTATTTAATTTTCAGTGACTTTCTTTCTCTTTCTCTCTCTCTTTTGTACGGCTCGATTTGTCGTCATTTGTATGTGTGAACGCTCGATTCTCGTTTAAACCGCCGTCAAGGTTACACGAAATTCTTGCCTCGCCTACTACTGGCTTTTAAACTCTCGTCAATCTTCTCAAGTTGCACCTTCGTTTCGTTACCGGTTAAAATATGTTCACGTTCGTTTCGATAAACGATAAACAAGAGTGTAAGAGAATAAAGTTTTGACGAGAACAGCCCACACTTCTTGCAAATTTATTTGTTTAAGACGAATAAAAATAACTATACG